TCACAGAAAGAATTTAATCTTAAACGATCATAGAAAATTAATAATGCCAAGGTTTTAACTATATTAAAAGTCGCTGATTACGAATCTGCAGTTAGATTTTAAAAATTTAAGATGACGGGTCGAATATGGTGGATATAAAAATTGGACTCCTAGACACAAATACACCCCCTGATCTAAGGGTGCATGCGATTAATTCGGCATAGGGCTCATTCGAAAGGGCACGATTTAGCCTTTAATTTCTGACATATACAAAGTTTGTAGCACGTCAGGGTTCAGCTCTACAATTTTTCAAAAATGGCCAAAAACGCTGTTTTTAGGGGTTTCAACCCCTTTTTTCTCGAAAACGTGACGTGATGGGAAGTTTTGGACCCCAGATTCGTGTTCAGCACGAAAAATCCGTTCGGAAACACCAGGTCCCGTCTTATTCGCAAAACCCTTGTAGACCAGTGTAATATATTGGTGCTTACACATATGTTAGTGTTTGGCCGAGCTTCTCCTCCGATTTGTGGCGTGCGCCTTGATGTTGTCACACAAAGTGGTGGGACCTACAGTTTTACGCCGACTCCGAACGGCGGTTGCATTTTTATGGGAAGCTGTTTTTCATGGCAAATGCACTCGGAGGTTTGCCATTGCTTGCCGAGGGACGACCGCTTTTAAGAAAAAAGCTTTTTTCTATATTTTTTTGCGATGTTGCTTTGACCAGAGCTTGAACCCAGGCGCTGCGGAGTGGAAGCGCGCACTGCTTACCACTACACCACAGCGGCCGATACTTTAGGTCCGATATTTTTCAGGCATCGATACTTTTTTTCGATACTACTTCCAAGTAAAAGTATCGATACCTGCATGGTATCATTTCATCCCTAGTCAAAACAAAGTTGAAAGTAAAAATAATTTCAGCAATCTGACAATACTTTTTAAGAAAAATTTGTCAAAAAAGTCAGAATTTTATTTAATATTTTATGAATATGCTCTATTATTTTTAAATTTAAAGAGATTTACAAACTAAGCATACAAAATATCGGAAAGCAAGTAATGTATGTAATTAAAAACATTAATTAATTAAAAATCTGCTATATTTTTATAAAAGCAATAATTAAAATAAAATAACAATAAAATAATAAAAGGATTTTAATTATGCAGTTTTGTAACCCATTTAATTGTAGTACATTAAAGTGCAAGTTTGAGGTAGGTAGGACTTACCATACGAAGTACATATGTTCGTAGATTTTTTTATATGGAGAAAATGAGCGAGACCTTCACTAAAAAAATTTCCAAAAATCAACGGTATGTCCTACCTACTTTCAACTGGCACTTTAATGGGCTACAACAATACGAAAAAATAGTTAAAATTAAATATGTAATAATAAAAAAATAGTCAAAACTTTGTCAATATGTGGGTGTCTTATAGTTATAATAAGCACTATATAATGAAAACTGTGACACTTATTCCTCACAGTCGGAATCTAAATCCCATCCACGCCCCGTTAAACTAATATTATTTGCTTCAAGTTCTACTAAGTAACTCCATTGCTTTAGAAAAGAAAGATCTCCGGTTTTTGACCACTAGCAATAAGCGCGAGCAAGTAATCAGAGGATCTGATGAAACTAACAATCTATTAAAATCGTCTTCTAAATTGCCAGCGCGACTCATTTAGATCTCTCTAAAGTCTTTAAAGTCCTTGTTCGAACTAAATCCGCTTCTCACTTAAGATTTTAAAGTCCTTGTTAGAACTAAATCCGCTTTTTATTCATTTATCAACCTTAAAACAATAAACAGTTTAAGTTCGAATTGAAACAGAATCAAAATTATGCAGAATTGTATGTTTTTGTGTTTAATTAAACCAATTTATTTAAAAATGCTCAAAGTGCTTTTGGTATTGAACTCGGATTCTAAATAAGGAAGGAACATACTTTATTGTAGTACTGTCAAATTTAAAATCGTTTTGCGCATTAAAAAAAAAATATTTTGAGAATTACACTTGCCAAAAATAGAGGTTAGTTTAGTTTTTTTTAACATAATTTTTTTAAAACACATTAATCCAAAAAAATGCACAAAAAAATAAAGAAACTTGATTTTAAGAAGTGGAAAAAGAAAAAACGAAATATAATATCGCTTTCTTACAGTAACAATTTGAATTTCTCAGTTTTGAAAAAAAAAAAATATTGTTAAAATTTGTCAAGTTTGGATACGCATATCTCCCAGCCGAAAAACGATAGAAAGCTGAAAACTTACAACCAAATATAGAATTTAATGGGGAATAAAATAAGGATTTTTTAAAAATTGAATTTCGAGCACGCTTGGCCCCATTGTGTGACGCACGTATGTATTTAGTATAGTTTTCTGCACCTTTCCGATAACTAAGCAGGTGTGGTCTTACCCCTATTTAAAAATCTTCGATGGTATGTTCAGTTATAACTCAGTTATGCATACTTTGCACTGCATTGCATACAATGTAATTTTTACGTAGAAATCAAAAACCAACCGACTTCTTTACATATGTAATGCTGTGCGTTGGGTAACAGCTTACACGCAAAGCTCATTTCACAGGTTCCTTATGTGACAACTCTCATGCAATGCCAATTATGCGTAACTGAGCCTTTAGACTTAATAAGATAAATTTTTGGAGTCACTAATTGGCGCTGCCACGCGCATTTTCCAAATTCCATAATAATCTTATTTCTTTCTGAAGGATTGTTAGTAGCTTACCTTAGAGTAAATAAGAGTTCTTAAGTTTCGAAATATCGAAATATGGGCGTAATTTTAGTCCGATTTCAAACATTTTTAACGTTTTGCTTTTATGTATCATGGCCCTACAAAAAAAATCAAAAAATACAGCCGAAACAAAACTTTGTGTAGGTCTTAGGTAGGGTCGAGTGAAACATTAAAATAAGTTTTTTATAGATTTTTTTTAGATTTTGCTTCAACTTTGAGGGACTTTTCTTAAGAGTCCCAAAGAACAGAATTTACGCAAAATTAAATTCTTAGAAACGCTCGTTTCCGCCTCTCCGAATCAAAAGTTTAAAAAATCGCGATTTTTATGCTTGAAAAAATTAAGCTCTAAAATGTTTCTTTTTTAATATATCTACCCTTATAAGGCGGCATTTTACAAGGAAAAGTTTACAGTTTTAATGCAAGCAAAGAAAATCGCATTAGTCAATACTTCCGAATAATGGCAGCGTCTTAAAATTACGTGTTTTTTACTTATTTTTTGTGAACTTTATCAACTCTATCGTTTTGACTGTTTATAGTAAGCAGTTTATGTTACTGAGGAGTTAAGTGTGCGTATAATAGACGATACACAGGTACGAGTCGACCGACCAGCCCACTCCTTATAAAATAGAGCTGCAAAACTATCGGGGGCACTATCGATAGTTTCAATTTGTCACCACTATCGATGAATCGAACAAAAAAATTCCCAAAAATCAACGGTAATCTAAATAAAAAACTCGAAAACTTGATGAAACTTGGTAGAATTTTCCTAGTTTTTGTAAGATGTTTGAAATTTGGATTTGCATGGTCTATGTTAGATAACGAACTATGCTTTCTTAAAAAATGATAAACATTGAATTAAAAAAATATTATTAGATAAAACTTAGTAAGATTCCCTGTCCACATTTATCCTTTTACCGTATTATGCTTTTTTACCTTTTTGGCTGATAAATGCGAAGGCCTTGATCTCATACATCTCGCTTTCTAAGGAATTAAATGAATTGAAGTGTATTGCTTTTTGCTTTTTAAAGTAACTTATTTTGTTATTTTTAATAAAGCACACTAAAATGGGGTTTGAAACTAGCATTCATGTTTTCTCTGCTAATATAACCATATTCAATATAATTAGTGCTGTAGTAAGGATGTGATATTTTTTCTCTAAAAATTATGGTCTCTTACCGATGTATCGATATCGAATGGTGAGGCCAAAAACTATCGAAAATATCGAATGGTATTGAATGCAGCTCTATTATAAAAAAAAACTTAGCTTGAAGTTACGAGTTTTTTAAAATTCGCAATATTCAGGTTACGAAATGTACGTGTTGCCTGCTAGATATAAATATGAAACTTACGGAATCTTTTGTTCTTATACATACATGTGCAAGTGGTTTTTGTATAACCAAAATTGGCTTAATTTTTCTATTTTATTATCTTACAAATTTTCAAAAATTCTCATAACTACGGTGTTCGATACATCAATCTTATGTAGAATTTTCCGCTGAATCCAGATATTTGAAAACTTCGCCCGTTTTGTTATTTTCATGTTAAGTGCATGTGCAAGTGGTTTTTATTTACCTAATTTTATAATCTTACATTTTTGTGCATGATTATTTTTGTAAATAGAGATTATATCTTACAGACATCCCATTAAAAATTATGTCAAAAAGCTGCAATTAACTTTACAGTCGACTTTATTTTGACTATGACTACGGGCCAATCACTTAAATCCTATTTTAGGTTAGCCGAAAAAAGTTAAATTAAATCAACTATTATTTTTTTACGGAGTCTCTACATCTATAAATTATTTTATACTTTTTAGTTCTTGTTGTAATAAAAGCATGTTTTTAGTTTTTTTAAACTGATTTTTATTAGTTAAGTGGAATCAGCTCGTTAGTTCAATTCTTTCGCCTTCCTCTTTAATTGTTTTACGAAAACGTTTGAAGAAGGTTTTGCAAGCGGCACGCAACATATCTTGGTCCATTTCGTCCCAAATCTGTGACGCCAATTTTGAGGAGCATATAGCCGCTTACACAGAAGATGAGGGGCTCAAGATCTGGTGACGCAGCAGCCATTAAAANACAGTTAAGTTAAATACGTGTATTTGCATGTAGAGCGCCAGATTGGCAACCCTTGCGTTGACGGAACCGACGAACGTTGGCCAACTCTCAACTTTTGGCGTACGTAACACAAATGACAGCTGCTTGTCATTTGGATTTTATCTCGCGCGCAATATTTGATTTAGTGAAAGAAAGTTGTGATTTTGTACGAATAAAAAATAAAAGTGAATAAAATGGAATATACATTAATACAAGCGATACAAATGCACCCTTGTCTTTTTGACAAAAGTGTTCCCAGTTATAGGAACAAATTGGCAAAAGAGAAAGCCTGGAATTATGTGGCGGCTGCCGCAGGTGCCTCCGGTAATTGAATGTTTTAAAGAAATTACAATGAATAGTTGTAAATTTGTTAAAAATTTGTAGTAGAGCAGTGCCAGAGTCGCTGGAGGTCTCTTCGAGACCGTTTTGTGAAAGAAAGCAGGAAGGCGCCTTCTGGAAGTGCTGCGAAGGACATTGGTGGTTGGCAATACATGGAGGCGATGGGATTCTTGGCACGTCACGTTGCACCTCGACAGTAAGCTCTTATTGATCTGATATAATATATGTATAAACATAAACTAATTAAATACTTCCATATGACAGGACTTTTGGTAATACCACTTTCGACAGCGTGGGAAGTGTTTCGCCACAAACGGAGCAGCACATTATGTATGAGTCGCAACCAAATAGTACCTTTATCGCTAGCGTGGAAACTTTTACGCCACAAACGGAGCAGTACGTTGTGTGTGACTCGCAACTCATTTTTGAGCAGGAGGAGCCATCGCAACCCGAGGTCGATTTCGTTGCCCAATCACCAACGCCAATGCCATTCTCTAGCGCTTGCAGTGAGGAAGGAGCAGCTTCTCGTACAAGTCGCCAGACAAAGAGAAAAAGAGATGAAGATCGTTTTGACACACTGTGTGGAGCTGTGAGTGATTGGCTGCAGAAGTCGGAAAAAGCCCCTCAGCCAGTAAGCCGAAATGCAGAGTTTTTAAAAGTTCTGGATGGGTATTTATTGAAGTACCCTGAAGAACTTCAAGATAGGTTTAAAATAGATATTTTAAATTTTGTGCACAGTGGCGGACAAAGCTTTTAAGTAATTTTTTTTTTAATTTTTACTTTTTATGATAGATTTGAAATTGAATTTGAATTCAGTTATGTTTTACTGTGATGAATTTTAGTTTAGTTTTGTTTATTGTGATAAATTTGGATTAAGTTTTATTTCACAATCATTCACATAAATAAGTATACGGAGGTGTTTTACAATATTTAAGATGTTTTCCATGACAAATATTTTTCGTAAATTTTTCATTTAAATAAAGTTCATACTAAACCAATAACCATATAAATCAAAACAACAAACTTTTTCCAAAAAATATTTTAAATTTGGCCAAAAATTTGGGGAACTTTCTAAAGTTTTGCAAAAAGTTAGATGTTTTGATTTATATGGTTTTCGGTTTAGTATGAACTTTATTTAATTGAAAAATTTACGAAAAATAATTGTCATGGAAAACATCTTAAATATTGTCAAAAAATTCCTGTATACTTATTTTTATGGGTGACTGCATTCTCCGTTATTCTGGGTGAAATGAATGGTAATTCCAAGTTATATGTACATAAGTCTGAGTATGGTTTGCTTTTTAAATTAACTAGAAAAACAATGAATGTGATAATATTTTTATTCTTTTTTTGAAATAAGTGCATATTTTCTAGAAAAACAATGAATGTAATAATTTTGAATGCTATTTATTTTCAAAGAAATTAATAATTTAATATGTTGATTATTATACAGTGTCGGTCATATTAATAGCACCCCCATTTCAAAGTGACATTGTTTGTCACTTATGTTTAATTATTTATTTTTAAGAATTTTAAATTAAAACACAGTTTATCCTCTAACAAAACCCATATAGACCCAATTTTAAAACTTCGTAAAAGACTACAAAAGAATGCAACAAATTTTCATCGAAATTTAAAATTTTTTTCTCTGAAGTGTTAGAATTTTTTTGAGTACACAGTTTTATAGCCAATTCAATTTTAGTTTGATAATGTGAAAGCTTCAAGTGGCTAAAAATGGCCGTTTATTTTTTAGAATTTTTTTCACCGAAGGCATTTCTTCCATATAAAAATAAATTGTGTTTATTCGTTATATGGAAGCAAATGCGACAAAAGTTCTAAAAAATAAACGGTAATTTTTAGCCACTAACTAAAATTGAATTGGCTATAAAACTGTGTACTCAAAAAAATTCTAGCACTTCAGAGAAAAAAAATTTAAATTTAAAAATTAATAATTAAAAATAAGTGACAAACAATGTCACTTTGAAATGGGGGTGCTATTAATATGACCGATACTGTATATTCAGTATTTAGTAACAAAATAGGGATATTCCCATACGTGATCAACATGTATTTGACAAATATCTATATTATAAATCAGCAATATATATTGACATGAAAGAGAAAAAATTAGAAGTGAATTAATTTGAAAAAATAAAAAACTTGCAATTCAACTGAAAGTGTAAATAAAATAAATAGTTGTTTTATTTGACGCTGTAACATACACCTATGGTCAAAGATGTAGCTCTTTTTTTAATATTTTCCGCTAAGTTTTCATGAAAGTGTAGTTTAGGTTAATTCAGTAAATTTTGATACTAATTTGCAGCTTCCTAATCGGATTTTTTAGAGAAATTTTAAGTATAAGTTAAGTATGGCCCCTTAAACTTTAGTATAACAAAGAGCAAGCTCAAAGATGCTGGAAAACTTAAAAAAAAATCTTTAAAAAAATCATGTTAATCAAAATTTAAAATTTTGCGAAAAATTAAGGAAAATTCAAATCTAATATAATAGAGGGCAATTTGAAGCTGAGAATAAATTTTCTTGATTTGGACAATTTTTTCCTGACGGTGTTAGCATATTCCTCCACACAAAATTGTTCCGTAGGTAAAAAGCAAGTTACGAAAGTATCTAAAAGTAAGTCGAATTCAACTCCGAAATCCCGTTGGCAAATTCTTTAGGAAGTATTTCCTGAAAATGCGATAATAATTAAATTATGCTTACCAGAAAGGTATAAAATATAGGTTACCTTTTTCTTTATTGGGGTCTACTTTGTACTGGATGGGATACGAGAAAATTCTTCAATATATCTCTTAATTTGAAGGCATTTTGTGATGCATTGTTCGAGCCTACCCTCCGAGCCTTTTGTAAAACATCAACTTGAAACATCACTCCGCCACAATCCTTTTTTAAAACCGTCGCCTTCCTCCTGGTCGAGATACTCCGCTGGACAATAGCTACCATCGTGCATTTTAACGAAGTTGTGGAGGACAACAGTAGCTTTAACAATTTTTTCAGCAGATGCGGGGCTCATTTGCAAAGGACTTAAAAGTATTATGAAATTTATGATGAAACAAAAACACCTTTTTATTAAGCTTGTAAAATTGTTTTAATCAAATTTTATTTTAACTTTTTTATTTTGAATTAAAAAACAAACTTCGTATGCATTTCGAGCAGCTTTCCGCTCATCATCAGCAACACGACTAAAGCATTAGTAGCGCTAATACATACATATGTGTGTATGTATGTATGTGTACTTAAAAGTATTCTCCAACGGCAAGATAAAATTCCAAAGGCATTTTCAATTACGCACCGTGCTCTGGACAACCGCTTGTTAAAAATTTGCCTGTCTAGAGGCAAGTTGGCTCTTTAATAAAATAAGTATGCATTTAATGAGGAGATAACTTAGTATAAATTATGTATTCATACAAACCTGGATATGGTCTCATTAAAAATGACTTCAATGGAAACGCGTTATCACCTACAAAGTAGTGCGGGAAACTTATATCAGTGTCTGGTAATATACCGTTTTCAGGCAGATCCAGTTTTCCATTGTATAAGAGTTTTCCAAAGCCTGAATTCCACAAAATGCCGCCATCACTCTGCGAACCGTAAGCCCCGATATCTATGCCAGTAAAAGTGTAATTGGCATCGCACACCGCCAGCAGAACAATAGAATACGTCCCTTTGTAATTGTAAAAAAGGGAGCCCGAGTTTGATGGGCAAAATATATTGATGTGTTTACCATCGATCGCACCAATACAATTAGGTAAATCCCACATTAAATAAAAGTCCGTGGCAATACGCTTCCATTCATCTTTCAGTGGAACTGACAAATAAACAGGACCAAGTATCTCCCACAAGACATCGCACGTTTCTCCAACGATTTCTTTCATGGTGGATAGCCCTATTTTAAAAGCGCAGGAATAAAATGGCTTACTCCCTCCGTGAGCCAAGTAGCTAAAATTTAAATTTATTTAATTATCATTTAATACCTGTAATGCTACTGCGCATCCACCTACGGAGGAAGCCTCCCAACCTAACTATAATGCAAGCAATTTAGCTGAGGGTTAAGTATAAACGAAACTGGGGGAATAGATGATTTTTGCTTATTCGCTCTCTTATTAAACTAAGGAGCAAGTCGAATACAGGCTTTTCCATTCGAATTGCTTGCTTGAATTCCTCAGTGAATCCAAAATGCGTGCTAAAAAATCCATGGGTGTCACGATTTTGCAGAGCAGGTCGCACCCAACAACTACGAACTCCATAAATCCTCTTAAAACACTCTCTGGCTTCCAGCAACATCAAAATAATCAATATGACTTCTATAGTTTCCATTTTTATGAGTTTTTTTTATTTTAAACTATCACAACACAAAATTTTTGTTTTCAACACAGCGAGACATTTTCCGCCAACAAACTACAGCTGATTTTTGTTTATATACATTAACGCTTACATTGTGGCGCCGCTCTACGTTCATTCACGTCACGTCAGTTTCATACTTGAGCGTCACGTACGCAAAGTACTCATTCTGACGGGGCTATTATTTACTGGATACATGTAAATGCGGGCAAATTTTAATTACACCAGTCTTGAGTGCGTTTTGCCTTGTCTGACGAAGCGGAATTTTGCTGGAGCAAAAATATTCAGCGTCATACAACTCCTGGGCATGAGGTAATATATGACCTTTTAAACGTTTTGAATATGTATAGTAATTTGTGCCAATATTTACCCCTTGATCGATGAAAAGAAGTGGCAACTTGCTCTTCGTTGATATAGCTGCCCAGACCATTATTTTGGAAATATTCTGGTATCGCTTCACGGCCAATTTATCTCTGGGGGCATGTGATAGACTTAGGCCCAATTTCAGATGGCCTATTTAAGTAGAGATTGTTGATTAACTTCAACAATTCATTTTCAGATCATACATTTAATCTGCACCTAAATGGTCAATATTGGCTAATTAAATACGATATATGCAATCCTGTGTTTTTACAAAACAAGCAAGATTGATAAATAGGTGGTTTTATAAATCTTGCCAACAACAATCAGCTGTTCAACTCAAAATGTAAACAAACAAACAAATGCAACAATTTCAAGGAACAAACAAAAGTGTTTCCACTTGTTTGGCATATTTAAATGAAGTTGATTTGAAACCCAAAGAAAGCTAAATGGCATTTAAATAACATTTCAAAATTAAACTTAAGTTCAGTTAAAATAATCATCTGAAATTGGTCCTTACTGCATGCACACGATTGTTTTGCTGATTGTAACTATGGGTGCATTAAAAAATATCGAAATACAAAGCAAAAGTCTCTTTTATCTCTAAACCCTACTAGAAGAAAAATATAAACCTACGCAGCCCAGTAGAAAACTAGCCTCTAACCGTGGTTGCGAACATTTGGCTTTAAAATCTACTGAGGTTTAGAAATAAGGTGCTATGTATTTTGACGTTTTGGAATGCACCCTATGGTGCAGTAAAATTGTTTTTTCATGCGAAAATAAAATTTCTTCTCCTTCGTGCCATCGCAATAGTTCTCTGCTTTTTGCAACCCGTCTTTTTTTGGCACGCAGTTAGGCCGTGCACGCGTTGCTTTTTATAGACTGTAAGGCTGGATCAATTTTCAGAATCCGCTGCATTGATGACTTCGATATCCCAACGCCGTTCGCCCCGCAATGACCGGACTGAGCTGCATTTCGTCTAAACCTTTCTCTGATACATTTTACGATAGCCTTTGCTCTAACAAATCGCTTCCGTCCAGT